TACAAGTTTACGAATAATAGTCGGCCAAATGTATTTTACTTGAAAATCTTAAACAACTCTTCGTGCACGAGTCCGATTTGCGCTTGCCCGGTTTTTCTTACGAATATATGTTAATAGAAAATTATTCATAAGAAAACATAATATATGGGTGACTATTAACGAGATATTTTTAAAACTTTACTAAGGAGCAAGAATTACTAAAAAATATTAAATACTCGAAATGACCTACTAACGGTAGGAACAAGTTTTATCTAAAATGGAAACTAAAATTCTAAGTATCAGAGTTAAATAATAAATTAGGGGAAAACTTGGACCTAACTAGATTCGTTCGATACTTACAAGTTGAAGAGATAGTAGAATATCACGCAATAAAATCTCTGAATATGCCAAATTAAAAAAGAAAGAACAAACCGATCGTCAAGTTGTTATAAGAATTATCAGGCTGTTTTAGGCCCTTTAAATGGAAGCTTTTATCTGAATGTCCAGAATAAGCAAAGTTAAATTTTATTAATATTAAACAAATACGAAATAATAATATTAAAATGACGGCGTAATTATTAAACGACTTCAATAAAAGGACTATTTCTTTTTTTTTTGTATTTTTGGCAAGACGTGTCGATTCTATTGCGCATTAAATTGGAAAGAAGAGCAACTGGGCTATTCTATGGAGACACGCGCGTTATCCACAGAAATACCGGTAGATTTTCCATAATTGGTTACATCTATTGGGTAGTCCCTAGCAGTAGGGTGATGATGATGATATAGAGGTGGATGATCACTTGCAGAATTTTTTACTAAGGTTATCTTAACACTCCAATATAGGTCGATGTGCACACGGTACCCGTGGACCACGTAGACGAAGCCGCGATTTACATCTAATAACATATAAACGTAACAAGGAACTTTTAAAACCATATCAAAAACTCTCTTTGCTTTGTTTGACTTTTGTAACAAAACGTATTTAACTTGTGAAGCTAATGTCGTATAAAATATCACGTGGATTTTATTACTTTCCTTCAATTAAAGGACAGGTGTGGACAATCTGGGCAATCTATAAAATTAGTTGATTAGTAGTCAGTTATCAAGAGAATCATCATAAATTATCGAATAGGACATAAAACAGCTACAGTGCTATCAATAAACAAGGTGTAGCATCAGAGTAAAATTGCAATATTAGTATTAGTCTAAATTCATATTATGCACAGAATAACCAAACCTACTACCTTTTACGGGTAAATATTACTTCCGTAGACCCTCGTACTATAACCTAGTAGTAACTACCTTTACTAAGTCTCTGTTTTATAATAAAAGTTTTGACTAATACTAAATGCAGTTTTTTTGTGTTAATTTACTCCAACGCTAAACTTTGTTTATTAATAACACTGTTATAGATAAATATTAATTAGTGCATTTCGAATTTCAATGGCTTCCTTCTAGAAGAAATCAGTTGGACGGGAGGCAACAAACTCTTTAAAGGTATTTTGTACTGCCTCTCAGGTATTCATTTTTTTTCCCGGCAAGAAGTTATCCAAATTCTGGAAAAAGTAGAAGTCTGTAGGCGCAAGGTGTGGTGAGTACGGCGGATGATGGAGAACTTCCAACCCCAGCTATTCTAGCTTGGAGACCTTCTACTGTGCAGTATGAGGTCGTGCGTCGTCGTGCAAGAGCAGTGGAGCCGAACCATTGACCAAAGCTGGTTGGAGACGTGCGAGATTCTTCATCATTGTGTTCAGTTCTTCACAGTACACATCTGCAGTAAAGCTCGTCGCGTTTGGTAAGAAGCTGTAATGAATTACACGTTAGACCACTAAACAGTGACCATCACTTTTCTAGGGATAAAGTTTTCGCTTAGGGCATTGCTTGGGTGCTGAACCAATGTCCAACCAACTTGCTGAGCGCTTACGATTGTCGAACGGGATCCATTTCTCGTCACAAGTAATAATGCGGTTCAGAATTCCATGATTTGTATACCTATTGAGCAGTGCAAAGCACGTCTCGACGCGTACTTCGCGCTAGCGATCATTGAGTTCGTGGGATACCCATTTGTCAAGCATTTTTCGTCTTTTAAAGCTTCTGCTAATTCAGCCGTAGATTGGGTTTCATCAGCTTCCACAGTTGCCTTTAATTCGTCATTGTCGATCAAAGTTTTCGGACGACGGGGTTAATTTTTCAGATCAAACTTTCGGAACGGAAGCGGGCAAACCAATAACGGGTGGTGCGTTCGTTTGTAGTGTTCGCCCCGTAAACCTCGTTGATGGTGCGTGCCGCTTGTGCCGCTTTGCTGCCACGACGGTATTCATACTTCGTCATCATCATCATCATCAGCCCATATTCGTCCACTGCTGGACATAGGCCTCCCCAATACTTCGTACTCATACTTCGTAATTACTCGAATTTTTAACTTATCCATGTCGACGAAAAATGTTCGAATGCGTTGAAAACAAAACACTAACTATTAAACAAATATGACGATTTTAGAAAAAAAAAATTCTTGTTTTTAAAATAAAATTAATTTGAAATTAGAATTAACAGCCAAAAATAAATATATTGATTTAAAATGGCCAATACAGCAGAACGCAAAAACTTCATATGTAAAGACCTAATATAATTACTACCAAGCTCAAAAAATTCAAGAACCATTAACTTTTTGTAAAGACACGTGATAGAAACCTTCTCCATTTAATTGACATGGATATGTGTATAATAAATCTTAATTGAATAATTGTCAAATTCTTCTTATTCTACTAATACTTCACCAATACCAAAGAATGAAATTTGATATATAGTTTAATGATACAAACGTCATTGGGAAGATACTGGCTTCTAAAATATAGGTAAAACTAGCTTAGAAGTCAGGACCTCAAATATTTATATAACTGGTATTTGTCGAAATAAAGAAATTATGATTATTAAATCATAGTCCGGATTAACATATAGTGGAATAATAAGAGTTTAATTAGAGTGAAATGGCTTAAGAATTAAGAATTAAGCTTAAGACCATCAGACCACGTAATTAATGCAACACAACCTATCTCTACATTTCAACCTGAACATACAGAATTGAACAGCTACAAACGGGATCTTTATGATGACCGAGTGGCATACTGACATGAGTACAATTCCAGTGCCAAAGAAAAATGACACTTAAACTTTTCTGAATACAATATGGATTCATTTGTGTGCATAAGCACGGATTATTGTCAGCCTGTTTCATGTTTTGAACGTGGAACCGTCTGTTGCGGTGGTAAGGTTATATGTTTGTTTTTATGGTCTGTGGTTAATCTGTGATCGTAGACGTTTAAAATTTAGGAGTTTTAAAGCTGGATCTAGATGTGAAAGCGTTTTTGTGCACTTATTTCTCTGTCTTTCTACAGTTTGACAATTGACAGACGCATTTTTGATTAGCTAAAAAGGTCAAAAAGCATTGAACACCAACGTTAGTGATAGCATGGTGATAACAAAAAAAAATGTTACCGAAGACTAGGTTCTATGAACAAGATTCCTTTGCATTAAATGAAATAAAAAATAATTTGTAAGATAATTTGGCGCGAATCTGTAAAACCTGTAACGTGTTGGTTTCATGGTGATTTTTGGTTCGTAAAATAATCTTATGATGAAAATAGAAAATAAAATTGTGAAATGGCAGAGTAAATAGTATTTAAACAAGAAAATACTTCGTGGACTAAGTGTGGTATTAGTAAATAAGTCACCTGTTTCACTTTTTTAATCATTCGTTTAGCATCAAACTAATGAAATTATAAAAGATTTAATACAAATTTAAAAAAAAAATTGAGCAAACTAAATCTTCTTAAATGTTATTTGTTGGTAAGTTATACCAATAGTATGTATATTTATTTAGCCATATTTCTATTTATTAAAATCTTCATGTTGAAAGCTAATAATGGCTGCCCTACTAGGCACAATGGATCGTGAAAGGGAAACTATTAGATGATGAAAGTCTAGGGAAAGCTAACAACTTTCTCAGAGAATCTAAAAGTCCCGTCAAGGCTTATTACTTGTATTGGTTAAATTCAAAGACTACTTTAAAGATTCAATTTTTCCGACCAATATTAATCATCGTTATCAACGATTTATTTATTTTATTGATAAAAAATATTAATATTACTCTACTGAAAAAAATGAAGCATGAAATTCGCTAGGTCGTAAGCATTTAATTCAGGAATAACTTGTTGTTCATAATCCGTTGGTTAGGTGGGGAAACCTATACACGTTTTTTTCTCTTGTATAAATCCTTTTCTCTCTAATAAAAAAATATAAAAGATATGTTATTAGTTATTACACGTTGTTACTTATGATATACCTACTGTGCGCTGAGAGGTCAATGACCGTTTTTTGTCAAAATGCCTACATTTGTTCACTAGTATAAAAATAAACATGTAAATTTTATATATTAAAATAAAATCTGTTATAACAACTTTAATATTTTTCAAAATTATTATCTTCTTTGTAAATCTATACTAATATTATAAAGCTGAAGAGTTTGTTTGTTTGTTTGAACGCCCTAATCTCAGGAACTACTGGTTCGAATTGAAAAAATCTTTTTGTGTTGAATAGACCATTTATCGAGGAAGGCTATATAACATCACGCTGCAACTATTAGGAGCGAAGGAATAATGGAAAACGCGGACGAAGTCGCTGGCGGCCACTATTTATTATATTAATGATTCGATAACTACGCGTATATATATAATTCATATTACCTATTAACAATTTAATTTGATAAACACCTTTAATATAAATTCTTAAAAAATCCACCAGCCCCAGGTTTAGCCCATTACTATAGCATTCTGAATGCAAAATTGATCAAATACCATAAATTTATTTAAATTTAGAATCATTTAAACAACATTACCTATTAGAGAAGAATTTACGAACATAGTTTTTTTTTATTCTTATTTTGGTATGATCCTTTTTATTAAAATAAGTTTCCAAGCCGGAGAACTGACATTACACTAACATTCAAATATCATTTGTTTCAGAATAACAACAACATGTACGACTGACCCTAAAGACGATAGTGTTAAAGTTGTGATATAAGTGAACTTAATTAGAAAATTGACAGTGCTGTGAAATAGTGACGTCAAAATGAGGAGCAGAGTGCAATTTGTTGCGACGGCGGCGCTTGTATTATTTGGTAAGTTTGAACAATGTAATATCCTTTAAATGTGGGCCTCTCAGATGAGTGAAGTGCATTCTTAAAGAAGTGTTTTCAAAACATATGGCGACCGCTGAACATGATATATAGTTCCACATCACCAAAGCTAAGTTGCGAGCACTAAAAAAACTCTACTACTCGTACAAATTAACATGACACCTGAAGACCTATTCTATTTTCGTACGAGTTATAATTCCTATAGCTTTATCGTTGAGCTATCAGCATATGAAATTTTGCTATTTTTAAAATAATCCTTATTACCAAGACATTACGATAAATGAACGATTATAGTAGAAGTAGAAGAAAACCTGTAAGTGTTTTTTAACAACACAAGATCTTATAAATTTCCAACTTGATTGCTATCTTTTTGCAAAAGAATAATTTGACTCAAATTTCACTATCTAGACATGTAATCTTATCATGTTAATGTATAGAATAAGATATAAATTGAGAGTTTCATAAATAGCACAATCCTTCTATACATCATCAATTTTGGTAAATAATGCCTCTTAATTACTTTCTCTAAGTAATCTAAACATCGTTAGATGGCGTCCTAAAATTAATAACTAGAAAATTTGTCATTATTTGTTCTATTTTAATTATATTTATTATTCATTTATAGATATTTTGCGCTTTAGTAATCATCATCAATTCATTTATTTTGGGTCGAAGCAGTTTATATTTTTCTTTCATACGTCTTGATAAGATTTACACTCGTAAACTAGGTATATATGTTATTATAAATTTACGAATATAATATTTTATGTCTTGTTGGGTCTCTGCTAGCGCAATAGATAGAGCATTCAATCGGATTGCGAAAGTTTGTGGGTTCAATTCCTATTTCAGGATACCACGGGCATTTTTTGTCAAAAATATTTATTATACATACATGCAGGTCAAACCTGGGACCTCCTTTTTTAAGTTAGTTAATTAATATCTATTTTAATTGCTCGATCGCTTAGGAAGATGACTTATTTTTGTATGAGTTTGTGTATCATGTATAATATTATGGTCAAATCATAATATTAACGGCATCTATTGAGTTTTGTGTTGAGTTAAAATTCAGATCCTACTGAATCTTGTAGTATACATTTTACTGTTTAAATGCTGTGTGATCGCAAATAAACGATTTCCTTTGTTTGCATTCATTGTATGCTAAGCAATAAAGTATATTTGAGTAGTGCAGATTTAGAAATGATATGTTTTGCGTGAAATAGCCGACTGTTTATTTTACAATTAGTCATTAGTGTGAGCTATGATTATATGTTTTTCACCAAACATAATTTATGGAAAATATTGACGTATAACTGATTTTGTGTTTGTTTATAGCTATTTGTAAATATGGAGATTAATATTTGGTTAAGTTCGATATTAACTGTTAATTCTTGAGCCGAGCAAATCGTAAGAGCACTATATACTTATTCTCGAAGCACTTCGTCGTTTTTGGACCCCGAAAATTTAGTTTTGGATTTCAGTAGATAACCAAAATTATCGGGATATGAGACATTATATACTCGTATATATTATAAAGTCTCAATTGCATAGCTTTTTTACTGAGGCCCGTGACCGTTGATGTTAAGCAACTTTCGCAAGGGTCGGTGACGGGATGTATGACCAAAAAATTACTAACTCTAAATACTCCGTGCTTCGGAAGGAACGTTAAGTTTTTGTACAGGGTTTATTTGCAGTCGTTATCCTCTAACATGCAATGGGAAAACGTGGAGGGTCATGGTCCTCCTCAATCATCCATAAGGAAGGCCTGAGCCCTTGCAGTGGGTACGAAGAGGTATTGATAATTATGATGATGAGCTTATAACACGATAAAAAGGGCAAAGAATAAATAGATCAAGATTCTGCTCACTTTTATTGAATGTTATTTTTTACCCGAGTCTTAACATGTCGGATACAATTAAAGTGACGATCCAACAAAATAAAACTTCCTTCAAGCTAAAAAACATAACATAGTTAATTTTGCACTCCAAGGAAAAATAAGTAGTCACTAATTTCTGTGCTGACTTTGGAGTACGTGACTAATTAAAATTCCGTATTATCCAATTATACAGTCATTTCCCTCGAATTACTTACTGAGTACAAAAACGAAGAGGCAAGGGTTCTGTGAAAATTGGAATATACATGTTCATTTAAACCTTTTTAGTTTTTAACGTTCTCTTTGTCTTTGATTAGTGCGTTTAAATATATAATACTAGCTTTTGCCCGCGACTTCACCCGTGTGGTCTAGTTTTAAGTCCAGGAATGATAAAATTCCATAAAAATCCCCTAATTTACCCTTAGGGGTCGAATTTCGTAAAATCTTAGTCGTAGTGAGCACCTAGGTCCTAAAAAGAATCCGCATGCCAAATTTAAAACACCTAGTACTTGTAGTAACGAAGTTTCATACAAACTTTTATCCTCTAATTTAGCCCCTTCGGGGTGGATTTTACAAAAATCCTCTCTTAGTGCTTCTCTACACCTAAGAAATCTTCATTTCAAATTTCAACTTTCTATGCTCAGTAGTTTTGACTGTACGTCGTCTTTCAGTCATTCAGTCACTCCGTAACGCAAGAATTTACTCAGTAACGGAAGAGAGATGGATGAAACATTATAATAATAATATAATATCGTCAGTGAAGTTATATTCATTGGCAAAAAAGCTAAACTGCGACAATAGACACAAATTACAATTTCAAACATTAAATATTTATAGATCAATACATACTATAAAACAAAGTCGGTTGACGTCTGTCTGTCCTTATGTATACTTACATCTTTTTTTTAATAGAAAGGCTGATTCAAAAGGAAGGTTTTTATGAAAGCTATATTATAAAGAGGAAAGATTTGCTTGTTTATATTGATGTATCTGGTTCACTGTAAATACTGACCGTCTTATTCTAAGACGAAGACTAATAGTAATTAGTACCAGGTTTAAACAATAATTAAACTGAAATAAGTCAACATGTCTCTCTCCTGTCATTGTAAATTTTAGGCTACCAGTAGTTTAAACCAAGAACTAACTTTAGTCCGTATTTTTAATTTAACATAAAGGTATTTCTGTGAATAATATGATGATTGTTTAATACATTTAATATTTTGGCTAATATGTATATCAAGAGCAATTAAGTTTTTTTTTCAATAATAATTTAGCTCTATATCATAAAAAAGCAATTCCTAAAACGACGATGGAATTAAATCAGCGAAAATTATCGAAAATTAAAATTATGAAGAAGGAAGTAATGCCTTCATTGAAAAAACAAAATTGCGTGTAAAACATTAACTTTTACTTATTTACTCGCATTGACGATCACACCTCTAATGATACGTTTGTCAGATCAATGATCTATAGATCGCGTTAGACAACGCGCATGGACGTAACCGTTATTGATTTGATTAATGGTTTTGTTTTTAAATTGTAACGTAATTGACACTGTTCTGAGGAACTGGTTTGAACTATAATGTGCATCAAAGTATAATTTTATATTTTTAGGGGGTGCAATTTGTTTGGAGAATTAACAACTCATTAGATTTGCAATTTGATTTTAAATGAAAATTATGTAAAATGATTATGTTAGAATATTATCTATAAATACGAGTATATATAACTCAAAGTTGACTGACTGACATAGTGATCTATCAACTTACAGCCCAAACCACTGGACGGATCGGGCTAAAATTTGGCATGCAGGTAGATGTTATGACGTAGGCATTCGCTAAGAACGGATTTTGATCAATTCTATCCCCAAGGGGATAAATTAGGGGCTGAAAGTTTGTATGAAACTTTATCAGTTTTAAACCGATCGGGCTGAGACTTTGCATGCATAAAGCTACTATGGCGTAGGCATCCTCCAAGAAACGGAGTTTGATAAATTCCACCCCTAAGGTGATAAAATAGGGGATGAAAGTTTGTATAAATCTTCTTAGATTTTCGACTGATTGAACTGAAATTAAAGATTGGAACTACTATGATGAAGCGGACGTCCGCTTAAATAGGATTTTGATAAATTCAACCCCCATGGGGATAAAATAAGGAATGATGGAGGATGTAAATGTATTAGTTTAAACCTATCAGAACCTAATGGAACGAATAAATAAATATTCGTTAGAAATGCTGCTTCAAAGTAACTTTATCACGCGAACGAAGTCGCGGGTAAAAGCTAGTAATAAATAAAGTTAAACGCACAAGGTGTTTTTGTTAGTTAATTCTCTTATATTCACTAAATATAAAAATAAATTAATGAAGGTCGCGAGCTTTAAATATATATTTATGTTTGTATATTTATACATAGTTTATGGCCAACCAAAAAGATTACGGAGCACTGCTGAAGAGGTTCAAAATTAATTGAATTCAAATCTATTTAAGTATTTAATCTTTTAAAATATTGTAACAATTGTATTCCATCTACACTTCATTGCTTAAACGATTTTTAATGGTTTGATGAAAATTTGAAGCTTTAATGAATGTTCTAAATTTGTATCGGTATTGTCGCTTCAACTAATAACCATTTTAATAGACGTATGTGCAAATGGCTGATTTCCGCGACTTTGTCCACGTGAATAAAAGTATCACCCACGTGTGATGTAGTTTCCTGTTGGTGAAAGAATTTTCATGATCGTATCAGTATTTCCGAACATTACTCCCTACAAACAAACAAAGTTACAGAAATTATCTCATTATAATATTAGTACAGATTAAGTATATTTTATGACTGAATAATTTAACCTGTTACTTAGACCACATAATGTCGTGTGTTTTATATTCATTACATAGTTTCTTTTTTGGATTTTACAGTTAGTGAATGCATCAATATTTTGCTTGGTTACTTAGTGGGTTAATTGTCCAATTTTAAAAGCTATAGCGATCCTGAAGGTTTAGCAATTGTGATAGAGATAGATGAAATTATGTAACGTTTGAAGTAGCAATCGCTCTCGGAAAGAATGATGATAAAACGTTATAAAAACTAAGTAAAACCTATCGAAAGATTGTA